ATTCGAAAATATTTTGGTTTTATATTAGATGAAATAAGAACGTCGGCAGAAAAGTATAGATGAAATTATAATTTATTTGAAATATACATCTGAAAGTATAAAATGAAAAAAATGTGTCCTTATAACAAAAAAACTCAAAATATGCGTTTATATGCAAAATAAAACTTAATAAGACTAGCTTTGTGAAAGTATGAAACATATTTCTTTTGTATTCGGCTATTTTTGTGAATGTGCAAAACAAATATACAAATGCTTAAAGTCCTCTGCCCTAATGATCGTTATATGGTATTCTGGCTATTACATTTATCAGTGACTAAGCAGACTAGTATCGATACGATATTGATAAAAAATAATTTTAGGCAATCGAAATAATAGTAATTTCTTCGAAATCGAAAACCTTAAACATCATAAACTTACGTGGAAAAAAGTTTGAAAAGATTAAAAATAAAAGAAAGAAAATGGTTGAAGTTCTGTTTATAGTTATCAGCACACCGTTGCAATAAACTTACCGTAAACGAGATTTGGTTGATTTTTTTTATTACTGTTAAAATAAATAGTTATTCTTGATTGAAACCTAATTAAAATATAGTTAAACAAACATGTGGATACTTTATTTATATTCATACCGATCACGCTATTTGTTATTTCTAATCATTACAATTTTGAAAATAATGTATGAATATAATTGTTGATTTGAAATGAAAGATTTTATAATTTCTAGACCTAATAACTTATGTTTTTGTTTAAATTCTTAAAATTATATGTCTTATAAACTTTATTATTGTTTGCTAAGGAGGTTATCTTTTATTATTATTTTCATCCAATTGTTTAAGTTCTTATATTTTAATCTTATATCATAACATGAGCTCAGATACCATTAATAATAGATGGTATTTTGATAGTTGATTGATATTAATTAGAACTTCATATTTCACGTATTTCGTGAAATTAACATTCGAAAATATTAAAAAGTGTACTTGAAAATTCCATGTGCATATGTTTTTATTCACGTATACACATATTCACAAATTTTAGTCTTAATATTTTATTAAAATTCACAATATTGTCAAACCAACAAGTTTAAATTTTTTCTTTACTACAATGTTCTTTTTGAAGTTAACATATTTAAACTTCATAACACTTGAACAAATATTCGTAAATACGTGAATATACTAAAGTACATAAACACGTATATTAAATTTATGAATATTAAATGTAAGTGAATACAAATTTACTATTCATATTTCAAGGACTTCGTCTTCACGTACGTATTAATTAACGTTTTCAATCGATTCCTCTAGTATCAATGGTTTCATAATAACAATAGCACTACGATAATTTTCTCAAGATTATCATCATTTAATGGATTAATACTTAATTTATAGATAATTATTATTTATATACGTATTAGGTATTGTATTTATATTATTTGTTGTTTGAATAATTATGTCTTAGGATAACGTAAAGTAAATTATACAAATTAAATGAATTAAAAACGAACATTTTTGTCACAGTCAATAGTATGGAATGGGAGTTAACAATATCCCCTAACAGGAAAAAAAATACTGGTTAAGACTGTTTTTAATGAATTATACAATGCATGAAAAAATTTGTTGTCCCACAATTTTATATTTACTATGAATTTCTCATTTAACATCATGTGTTTTAAATAATTTTTCGTTGTAGCGAAGTGATAAATATTTAAGATTATGAAACTTCTTCTTCTTCGGTAAACTCGGTCACTAGGACCATCCCGATCCGACATACATCCTTGCCTCCAATTTTCTCTATCTGTTGACTGTATCCACCAGTATATCCATCCTCCTAATGCTTTCACATAATTTTTTACTACGTCTTCTAATAAGATTATGAATAGTACATGTAATAGTTGAATAGTGTAACCTTGAGTGGGAAATAATAAACATTCGTATACGGTATTAAGAGGATGCCATACCAAAAGTGAAACGTATACAACGGCCGATAGAATGCGTTGATAGGTGTTTTCACGCGGCGCATTACCGCACGATCGTCACAACCAGTCCGACGAATATTCCATGCGGGAGCGCGTTTTACGTTCTCACGAATGGTCGTAGTGTATGGGTACCGATGATAGCGTAAATACTTAACAAAATATTATAAATATGATGAATTATGGTTATTTAATAATGGCTATACTGAAAATGCACTGAAATATGGGTAGAAAACGATTACTTACGTTTGTAGGTGGGTAACAAAAAGGTAGATAAGAAAAATAAATAAACACAATTGCATATGAAATTATATGCAACGTTGTCAAATTTACTAATTTCACCGTATTATATCTAATAATATAATAATGATAATAATAATAATATATAATACACATACATATACATAACAGTTCTATAATAGTTCATAAACAAATTAATCATAAAATAATAAATATAAAATGAGGATAACTAAATAAAAGAAAAGTAATTAATAAATAAAGAAAATCAACTGTTTTTATTTGAATGTAATTATTATTCATAAATTATATGAAAATACTTAAATTTAGATTGCTTGACATCTATAACCTACTACTATAACTGAAATAACGATATTTCATTATATCTGATATATTTGATGTTATTAACAATAAACATTGGTAATAAAAGCAATAAAACACAAAGTATTTGTTAACTTTCTTAAGTTCTCTTGTATAGGCATGTGATATACACCACCAATATCGGTATGAAAATTGGTATCAACGGTTATAACTTCGTACGCAATTATGTAGTTAAAAATCAGGTAAAATCGTATGGAATCGTGTAGCTTAAATAGGTATTACCGATAACGAACGTACACAATCGTGTTTTACCCCTGAAATATATCATAATGTCCTCGTGCACGTAATATAATTATAAAAAAATAAATCAAAATCTATATAAATAAATATGAAATATTTGTCTCTTTGTTTTCTGAAACTACTCATCCAACAAACTTATTATTTTTTTTTTTTTAAATTAAACAGTACATCGCGAAGCAGGTGTAAGGCTTGATTAAAACTCGGTTAATTGAGTAATTATTTATTTATAATTGTTTTTTTATTCCACGGCGCAGCGTGAAAAAATAATTCAGATGTGTCCTCAAATAATATACTACACATTATTATAATATAATATTAATCATTATGCTAGTAATAAAATATAAAATTAAATGAAAAAATGTTTAAATATTAAACAGGTGGCAGCATGGTATTCCCGTACTTTTATCTTTTTGTTTTTTTTTACGCTATTTCATTTAGTATATGTCTCGGGTAAATAGTTGTAATTACTTTGTGGTTATATCAATTTTAGTTAGGTTATTATTAAATTACAGCGATTCCGAATATCAAGTACCTACCCTTATTTTAACCATTTTCTACAAAAACATTAATGAAATCAATATAGATGGTAATAATAATATTATATGCTTAGTTTAATTTGTCAACCCGTTCGTCCCGTCACTTGTCCTCGGTCTTTCCGTTTCGTTATGCGCACGTCATCGTTGAGCGTTAAGTAATGACGGATAGATCGATCCCTGTGATTAAAATTATCGGTAAACACCCGATATTCACAGGGTGTTGGGCGAATTCGGTGTTTGTGAATATTGATTTTACGGAACTATAAATTCATATTCACACTGGCTTACTGATGTGATGGGTAAATACCATACGGGTAGGTAAATATTTTGGGTATTTACCAGGTATTTACCCACTATAATATTTACCGACCAAAAATTTGGGTAAATATTTTTTTTTTATTGTCAAACATAATTATTCTTATTAAATAAATTTCATTTTAAAATTTGAAGCGTTTTAGTTAGTTTTTAAATTCTTAGATTTATTTGTTTCCTCATTAAAAGTGTTATTGGTTTTAAAGTGAATAAAATTAATAAAAACTTCATAAATATAATTTATGTACTCTAATCATCAGTCTTGGAAAAACATGAAAAAGTCAGGAAACAATCATAAAAAAATATTGTGATACCTATGTATTGGTTTTAGCGTTACAAATAAATTTATCCAATTTATCGGTTAAATACCGAGTAAATATCCGGTATTTACTTGAAATTATATTTACTGAGTATTTGCCCATCACTACACTGGATGTACAAATCATCTTGCCACACTCGATCACGTTCACCGTGGCCGCCAGGAGCGTACCCAAGTGGGGGTACCCCCACATTGAAATGTCTACATATTCAATTGTTTAATAGTAAATAGTATAATAATAGTATATAGCGTATTTTAATTTCCCATTATCTTCAATATACAAAGTTTATAGATTATATAATTTAAAATAATTATATTAAAATTTTGATATCCTCTTTTTTTAATATTATTTATTATTTTTGATCAAATAATGTACTTTTTTTTAGAACATTTTACTACTAAATAAAAATTGATTTCAAATTATAGTACATACCTATTGCAGTAAACCTTTGTGCATAATATGTGTGATGTGTGTATAACTTCTGTGAATATAACTACAGTTATTAATAGTAATTTTTTGGTATTGAATTGAACTTTAATTATAATTAGAGAACAGTTAAAATAAAAATGTTGGACCCCCTCATAAAAAATGCTTGGGTACGCCCCTGGTGGTCGTTTACCGGTCTGTGGACGCGCGCGCATCACCGTCGTACCGGTCGTACACGCGTTCGGCGGTCCGCCAAGCTCACCGCACAGCCCATGTTGGGCCCTCCGAGGTTAACCGGTCCGCCGGTCGCGATCGGCAGCATTTCGTCGCCGCTAGTGGTTATTGTAAAACACGAATATACATACCGTGGTATAAGCGGTATATTTATCTGTGACTGGGAATCGGTTCGAGTTATCAACTGTTATTATCAGTGCATATTTGTCGATAACATTATTATTACTAATATTACAATTGTTATTATTATCATTATATATTGCACGTAAGTACTATTATAATTATGTCGACCTCCAACGTTAAATTAACCGGCCTTCGTTGTACTACTACTGGTTGTGTCTACAAACGTTCCCACACGAGTAATGTGCCATGTTAAAAATACACTGCACGTACACGTGTTATTATTAGTTATAATCTTTGTTGGACTCACGATAAGAAAATAAGTGTACTGTACTTTACAAAAAAAAAAAATATTTGCGATAGGATTATATTGGAAAAAAAAACGAACAGCATAGCTGAATCGTTACAGCTTATTTACTTCTGTTCGGTTACGCCTACTCGTGATGCAGATGTGCTTTAACGGTTAGGTTGGAACTATCAGTCCGATATATCGCATCGAACACAGCACAGCGTTTTTGCCATCCACTAATATGTTATCGTTACCAAACTGAATAACTTAAAAGTGCTAAAACCAGGTATCGATGTTATTAAATAATCATGATTTTTTTTTCCTACTTAAAAATGTGATACTGAAATATATTTAAAGACTGCCGATACCGATTAAATTTAATATCATTGTATAATTTCGACTTGTTTCTATCTGTACGAGTACACATCCGTTGCGCACGTTGGATAATTTCAACTGTTGGTAAGTTTTATATTAATATAATTATTATTTACGCGTACACGTGCAGAAAACACATTTATTTATGTTTACGTTTCAAACATTTGATACTATTGAAGAATCTGCAATCCGTTGCGATTTTATTTTTTGTTTAAAAAATGATAATAGTTAGTTACTTTCAGTATTTATTTTTTTAAACGCAATGCAGCTGAAGAATTTCGTTTAATTTTTTTTTGAATTAAATTGTTTTTAATTTTTACTTCTAGTTATGCTTGTATATTTATTATATTACTCCAAAAACTAAATCTCAGAATAATTGTTATTAAAAGATGATTTTTTTTAATTTCGTATTTCCACAAGTTTCATGTAGTTACTTTTAAGAGTAAAAATTGAACTTTATATTCATTCGTTATAGTTATTTATTTAAATATTAAAAAAAAAAACTATTAATATGCACATCGATTTTGGAAAACATTTTCTATAAATATTAACAATGAGCATTTTATAGAGATAATATAGATATAGATACAGACATAGTACATCCACTATTGTGACCTTCATATGTTTTAAGTATCTTTTTTTAGTACCCCCCTCCCTACAGGCACGTAGCTAGGTATTTTAAAAGTGGATATTATTCAAAATTAATCAACAAAATGATGTACAACAAAATAACTTTGCGTATACTTTATTGTACAAGCATACAAACATGTATTTTATACATGCATATCTATTAATTTGTAATATATTAGTGTATAAGAAAGTGTTGAAATATTTTATTAAAATTTCAAATGGACATTTTTTCTCTTATATATTCCGGCTTTACATTATTGTTATCGTAATTTTATATTTTGTATTTCCATATATTTTTATTATATAATAAATATATGTAACACTCCTGTACATGTGCATAACCCCCCCCCCCCCCCCTATCAAATATTAGTCTTGAATTTGAATTAGATACATAATTATTAAGAAAGAAAAACTCTTTGTCTCAGTACGTCATCAAATTAATTATATATTATTATACAAAATGAAATTTATTTATAAATACCTACTTTAGGTAATAGTTCCTCATATTCAAATCAATATGATATTTTGTTTTGCTTTTATCATAAAAGATATTACAATAAAAACTAATAGTATTCCAGGTTATTTACTTGATCATTGGTGCTATTGAAAAATGTATTTATTATTATTTTATCGAATTTTATTTTATATTTTCTGTTTTGATTTTATTATTTTAGATTATTTATGTGAACAAAGAAAATTGAAAATATAATTATGAAAATTAATTTTATATTGATTTTCATACTGAACTTGTATGTTCGTGTAATAAGAAGTTCGAACATCCTTATTTTTACTCCATCTCCTTGGAGAAGTCATATCGTTTATTTTCAGCCATTATTTTTGGAACTAGCAAATCGTGGTCACAATATAACCATAGTATCCAAATTCCCGGTTAAAAATCCACCACAAAATTATACACAGGTGATTCCATCGTACCATTTCGATTCTAACAGAAGTAAGTTACATTTTTTTTTTTTCAAAACTTTATAGTTTATATCTTAAATAATTTAATATACTATGTACCTATGTATTAAAACTCGTATCTACACACACACACACACACACACACACACACACATACATATATATATATTAGTGATGGGTCGAACCTGATTTTTTCCAGTGTCGAACCGAACATTGTCAAAGTATTACGAACCTTAACTGAACGGAACTATTAACATTTTTTATCGAACTAAACTTCGAACTTATCATTTTTTTTTTTTTCTTTAGTAAATATATTGAAATTATGAACATTTTACTTATATTGTGCAAAATTTAATAAACCTAAAAATATATAATAAATTATAATAATTATTTATTAACATACAATACTATATAAAAATTTATATTTTTCCTTTTTACTTTTCCAAAAATAGATTTATAGTTTTGATCATTTTATCACACCTCATATGAAAAATAATCTGTGATAATATTATCTACAGATATTTACAAAAATAATCACATGCTTCAACATGGAATTATTTTATTTTATTTTTTTTTTATAAATTTTATTTTATATTTGAGTCATAAACAATCGGTTTTTTTAGGATCAGATTTACTTATGCAAGATCGGGATTTGTATTACTTGTTCGTCGCAGATCCAGTGTTGCGTAGTACGATCCTGGTCGACACAGCAAATTTGTTTATGTCAGATTCAGTGGTACAGAAATTTATCAATGAGGATCGATCCTCGTTTGATTTAGTCATTGTTGAGTCATTTTTTCAAGAATGCACCGTTGCATTAGGACATAAATACGGTGCACCATTAATCTCAATCGTTCCTGTGGCTCCGTGGGTGAGCGTATCTCGCTGGAGTGCAAATCCATCGGACTTTTCTTACATTAAAGACTTCATGCTGGACGGCGGAAAGTTACTGAATTTCTGGGAAAGGTTTTTCAATACTTATATCGGACTCTACGGTCTGTTTGTTGAGCCCATAACGTATTTGCCGAAATTAGAAGATATCATGAATACATACATGCGATACCCAGGGCACGAGACGAGACCCACGATGGCGGAAATGCTTCAAAATATATCATTAAACTTGATCGATTCCGATTTAATGATACTCAGTCCGCGGCCTTATATGCCGAATTTCATTGAAGTGCCTGGATTTAATATACAACAAGATGGAAAAATTAACCAGGTATAAGTTTGGATTTAAATATCCGTTTTATGATTATTCGACCTACGTTTATGCTTATTGCATGAATTAGAAATTACCAATTTTTTTTAAACGCTGTATTGACATTCAGAGACTTCAAGAATTTCTTGATGGAGCCACCACGGGTTTTATCTATTTTAATTTTGGCACTGTATTGAACGTCACGAGTATACCCAAATCGTCTATGCGCGTGTTGATCAACGTGTTAAGCCGATCGAAACACAAGGTTATATTCAAATGGATCAATAATAATACTGAAGGGTTTCCGGTTAACTTTTACGTTGATAAGTGGCTCCCACAGAGAGAAATTTTGAGTAATAATAGCAAATATATACGTCGGTTATTAAAAGTTTATGGTAAATTTATTATTTTAATTCATCTTATTATTCACATTACAGAACATCCACACTGTAAGGTTTTTATCACTCACGGAGGATTTCATAGTTTAATTGAAACAATTGACGCTGAGGTTCCTATTATTGGATTTCCCGTTTTCGGCGATCAGTATCAAAATCTGAAAACTAGTCAGGATTACGGAATTGCAATCAAGAGCAATATTTTTACATTGACCGAAGAACTGTTTGAAAGAGATTTAAAGAGTGTTTTGACTGATCAGAAGTGAGTATTATGACATTTTTATATAATTACATTTTTAATATTAGTAAATTCAATAAATTAAGACTATTGTTTTGGAATTAAAACTGCCAGTTTTAACAAAGTATTGTTTAAATTTACAATAATAAAATGTTTTATTTTTTTTTGTTTTTCATTTCTCATTTTTTTTTATTTGTAAAATAAAAATAAAAATGCACAAAATCATTTATAATATCACCAAAAAACATACATCATATTATTTGTATATGATAATAATTATGAACTTTTAGTTAGATTATAAAATAATTAAACTATTATATATAATACAATTACATTAAATTAATTTATTTTAATGAATGATATTTTTGTTTATGCCACTATGACACTAATAAATCAACCTTTTTAAATAAATCAAGTAAGACTAAAAACTATGGTATATCGTAGCGATTAATAACGATTTATATTTTAATTTAACTTTAAATGTACACATTTATTACTAAATTTTGAGTAAAATATTTTGAAAGGAATAGAGTTCTTGATATTTTATTCTGTTTTAATTATTTAATAATTTCTGAAAATGTAATAATTGTTCAAGAAAATCCTTGATCGAGATAACGTCAAAATTACGATTTTAGAAATGTATTTTACCTACTTAAATATTTAATATTTTTGGTGCCGTATTCAGAAAAAAATGGTAATAGTAGTAATAATTAGAATTGTAATACCATACGTTTAAAATGTATGGGGTGTTTGTATTTCACTAATTTATAAAACAAGTGTAAATAATTTGATTTTTTTTTTTAAATAAATATACTCTTTAAAAATAAATTATGTTTGAATATTTTTATCGTATGCCAAAACGAAATTAAAATTTACATAATTGAAAAGTACATAGTTTTCTTCTTCTCATTTTATATATTAAATAATAAAAATACTTATGATCGTTTTTATAGAAGAAAAAATAATTCAAACCATCTGGATTGAATCAATAGTTGTTCTTAACTATAATAATATATAGCTCAGAATATTAAGCAACAAAAAGTCGTGTATAATTTTTACATCCTGACCGGATGTGATAGTTTGCTACCAACAGATAGGGACCCCTGCAGTAGCTGTTGGTAATAAATTACCTATCACATGTAAAGATTTTTTTTTTCTTAATTTTTTTAGGTTTTCTGAAAATATTAAAAAGTTATCCGCTATACGTCGTGATCGACCAATGCCATCTTTGGATACTGCGGTATTTTGGGTGGAATACGTAATCAGACATGGAGGAGCTCATCACTTACGTATAGCAGCAGTTGATCTAACATGGTCCCAATACTATTTGTTGGATATTATTGTGTTTGTTTTTTTTATTTTGTCGTTATTTATTTGTACGTGCTATTTTATTATCAAATGGATGAAGCGATTCATATTTAATTTGTTAACCTACGAGCAAAAAAACGATTAGAATATTGTTGGAAATCGTAAAATATCATATGAAGTATTTCCGTTGTGTATTACACTGGTTGTAAAATGCAACGTTGAGTCGTGATAAGTTTCTAGTGTGATACATTTATTGTAAATCTTTTTTATAATTCTGTTGTCGTACTTTAAGGCGTAAGGTATGTTTATGCGTCAAAAAGATTTAATTATCGTTTAATCTGGTGTATCTAATATTATTAACCATTGATATAATCATTACATATTTTCAAATATTTCACAATCCATTAAGCTATCGACATTTGAATAACTACAAGAACAATTTTTTTTTCTTCAAATCTGCAGTCAAATACCGATAAATTATTATTATTATATTTTTAAAATTGTTATATACTACTAATTGTTACGTGCCACCGATTCGATTTTAACTTGAGCAGTCGATAATGTATGATTTATAATTAAATAAGAGACTTTAACTTTTAGAATACGTTTATTTTACAATTCAAAGTATTAAAAAAATTCTGATAATAAGTGACGTAAAGTTGCTTGCAGTTCCGCGACCAAAATTCATCTGAATTGTGGTCATTTCCATCCTTTTTTTATATGGTTCGAATGGCGTCATAGAAGACTATTTTTGCTGTATCCGCTGATTTTTAAGAATAGGTTATTCTTCGTTCCGTTGATCTCGTTATTAGGTTGGATTATTTCCAGGAATAGGTGTATGACTGCTGTTCTCTCTGATTATAATATTACCTGGAGTATGACTTGTTTTAAATATAATGATGATCATGGTATTTGTACAAAATATGTTATCAAATCACACACGTTTTATATTAATGTGTAGTGGCCCATAAGACCTCCCCACTAAAAATAAAGTTTTGGTCTTCAAGACAGAAATTTTTTTTAAACTTTTTTTTTTTGAGGTTTTATATATTATTTTCTTTCCTGATAACTATATGACCTTATTAAATCTTATTTTAGCTGAATTTAATTCTGACTATAAAGATGAAATTTAATGTACCTCAATTGCATCAGTTAAATCTTTTTTTATAAAGCTCTATTTTCTTTTTACTGTGTGGAATAATCAACTATTCTAACAAATTTAGATTAAATGATGTCTTGTATAGCATTGTTATCCAGATTTTATATATAAACTGTATAATTATATTATAAATATTATGAATTATTAGTATAGTCTCCTTAGCTACTTTGATTTCGACTTTCTTAGATATTTATGCTATTAAAGTTGTTTTAACTATCTTTAGACATATAGATTGATCCATTTATTCTTTGAATCTTTTTTTCCGAAATCAGTGGTACATTGATTAAATATATATATAAGATCGATTCACTTACCTATATGGATTTATCAATTACTGATTGATGTATTTCATCCGACCTCGGTATTTCCTCCTCTTATACTTTATTTGTAATAATTAATATTTATTTATAGTTTATAGTGTATGATACCGTGGTACAAAGTAAGACATTTTACTTGTTATTTCGCGAGTAGTACCGTGATAAATTAGTGCTATTTAAATATTAAAAATGTGGGTCAAAAATTTGAATATATTTGTTAACTTATTTCTTTATTTTTATGGATTTTAACGATGTTCTTCTTTATTATTATTGTTATCAAGTTATTTTCAATTTGAAAAACACACACAATATGTATAACAGATAACGGAATGTATACCACTATGAATAAATAAATAATTATTATTTTATTATTTTTATTAATATCATAATACCCATAAAAACATTTTGTGCAATATTACATTTTTTTTAACATCAATTAATTTTGATATTTCAAAATGTTTTCACTCCCAATTTAGGTTCATATGTTTGCGATTGAATTACATTTATAAGTATGATATCATATTGATTTATAATAAATCAATATATATATATAGTGGACCTTGAAATTTTATTCGATCAAAGTAAGTTTATTTTATGAAATACGGTTCAAGCGCTTCAACTGTTGAAGATAAATATGTCAGCGAGCAGTATATAGTCAATATATTTATATAGCCAATATATTGGTATTGTCTTAATTGGATATGTTTAAGATATTTATTATCATACATACATACTTTGTGCAGAATTCGACAATTTTAGCGAAAATTTTCTAAAATTGTATAGTAAATATACTTAAAAGTAGCAAGGTTAGTTAATCATCAGTTGTGAAATTAAGTATGCAAATAGAAGACATTACAGATAGGAGTAATTAATCTAGTTGAAGAACGCATTTTATAACGATGCGCATTCAGAATATTTACCGTCTGATCACGGTAATTCATTTCACTTTAAAATACTCTGCTCCCATTTCAGTTCCCATTTCATTAGGGCCTGAGATTGTAAGAAAAGAAACTCAAAATACCTCACAGCATCTTATATTTGTTAGTTTCTTATGGAAATAAATATTACTTGTCAGTTCAATAAATACTTTCAATTATATATCAGTTAATTTAAATTTTTTGGAAAAGTATATCGATTGACTATAAGTAACAGGTTCATTAAAAATTGAAACTTATACTAATTACCTGATTATTATATATGTATTATATTTCAATTATATATGTGTACAGTGGCGTAGAATAGGGGATAATCAAAAGGTGTAGCCATCTCTCAGTTTATTGAAGGAGTGGAGAGTAAATGGCTAATAATCAGGGAGTGGATGTTTATGCATTTATCATATTTTTTAATAACATTTAAATCAATGCGGAGTAAGATATAAATTTGCTTCATCACCTTAAGAATTCAAATTTACCAATTTGATTTTGCATATTTTTCCATATTTGTTCGATTTTTATTTGATTGATCATATTTTTAAATTCATCATGTTTTTAGTGCATATTTGAGGTTTTTTGTGGTATACTAATATAGTAATATATTAACGGACTCGACACGCGTAATTTATAGTTCAAAATGTCCCGACGGCGGCGGGAATTTCGATTATTTCGATTTCTGAGCCTTATCGCCTTATCCATATTATCCCGCGACAAAAATAAATATAAAACACCGTTATCGCCGGAGTCGATATTGAACAATTTCGTTCATTGAAGTTGTGTTCTACCTTTCGTTGTGTTGTGTACTCATGTTGCGTTTCAGTTGTGTTCTAGTTTCGTTTTTGTCCAAAGTGTTTCTATATTGTATAAAATTATATACCTATTAACGTATTTACGTACCAACAGTTATTCTTAAAGTTATTTTATACCTATATATTTTAAATTTTTAATAAAAAAATAAGTTGAAATAAAAAAAATTTTTGATGTATATTTTTAATAAATTCTAAGCATATTTTTATACTTTTTAGAGCATAATTGCATGCATATTTTTAAATTTTTTGGAGCATAAATATTCGTTCCCTAGTAATAATTTAAGTTAATTATTATGAATGTAGAATAATAACACGCAAAAACATATTAAAACATATTTTAATATTAGTACAAGTGGAAAATAATGTCCAGTAGCCATTAGCTGATAATATCAAGTCAAAACATACGTGTTACAAAAGAGAAATATATTTAATATAGTGTTTATCATTATAGCCTTATATTTTGTCATTAATTATGTGAAATAAATCCAGATTATCCGAAAATCTGAAAAATCTGTATTTTGTATTTCGGTTTTTTTTTTTGATTTTTGGATTTTGAAATCCTAATTTTAAATTGTTGGACCTTAGAATTGAAATATTGGGTTATAAATTTCTAAACAAAGAATAAAATACTTGTATAAAACCTAAATTATTTCTGTATACACTAACTAATCTATTAAATACCTAATTCACTTATTATAGTTATAACCAATATATACAAAACCATCCTAATTATATAATAATAATAATAATTATATAATGATAATAAAATATATTATATATTATGTAATTAAAATATTTATTGTTAGTTATTGTTAGTTTATTAATTGTCAATTTTTGGTTAGTTAAGGATTTTTGGTTTTTGGATTTTAAACTTTCGAATCCAAATTTTTGAATTTTAGAATCTGGAATCCGAATTTACAATAAAATTTGAATTTTGAATTTTCAAAGATTAAATAAAATTATTAAATTTTCCAGATTTTTTCCATCACTAGTTTTTAGTTATTAGGTATTAAATTTATGTACATTATTTTGATTTTATTTTTTCAATAATCATTCAGTAGGATTTCCTGTAGGTAGTAGGGGGATGGATGAGTAGGTATCGAAAAATATATTTGCCTCTGAAAATATTTGAGTTCGTCACACCACTGTATGTTTAATGCATTCTGTACTAGCTTATCTCTGTTAGCAGGATTAGTTGTTATCAAACAATTTTATTTTAATATACTGGAAATTTAATTAGTTTATGTTGTTTTTTATTAAATGTATGATATTTTAAGAAACTGTTCATACAACGGCATATGGATAGAACACTCATTATATTCGTAAAACAAAAAAAAATGGAAAGTTTTCACAATAGCACTGTACTTTTTTGATAACGTGAACTTTTCGCTATGAGAGAGTTACTTAACTTAATTTAATTCAGTCAAGTTGTAAGTGCTATATTATAATCATGTGTTCAAATGTATTATCTACATTGATTTATACTTTCAGATAAAATATTACGTAAATAACAGTTTAACAGTTGAGACTTTTATGAAGTTAATGCTAAATAAATTTGCTGATGGATTTATTAACGTATATCGGTGAAATAGTTTTCACAATTTTTCCCCAACACAGTCATTAAAAATAGAAAACTAATCAATCACAACACTACCGCGATATGAAAGACTTCAGGTGTTAATAATTTGAATACGATAATAATAATATCGTTGACGTTTACGCAATTTTAACACAAAATCTATTGTATAGATATTATATGTATAAGTGTACGTAGTGCGACGGATCAATATATTACAGTTATACCGATCGTAGTGAGATGTAAAGTAAAATAAATTAGTCCTGTGAGCTAAGGTGCGTTGCAAAAAATATTTTGTGGAAGCTTTAATGTTTTCAAGGGCTACGATTACAATAACTATTAACAATTAACCAATTCAACAGAACATTCGATTTAGTTACTTTTACCAATCTAATATCAATTGCATGGACCAAAACGATCGATTTTTATGTACGTGAATAAAAATATAAATATTTGTTATCCAGACGAGTTTGAACCTTTAAGATCCACACTTGTATATATAACTGAAAAAGTTATTAATTAACTCATAAACATATCTTTAGTATATTATTACTAAAGGAGCTGGATCTTGAAACTGAAAACGAGGAAGTAGTAAGCTAGAAGATGACCTAGAAAAAATGAATATATTTGTAATGATTTCATGTAAATTTTAAAAGCCTGCGAACAAATTGAAAAAGAAAAGTAATTTTAGTGTTTGTGTCAAGTAAATTGAAAATCATATAATATTTTGATTTCGAAGGTTCTTACACACGCATTATTTTGATTGTTATCTGTTTGCCCAGGACTCAATCGTCTGATCGATACGTGTAATAATTATATCCATAATAATGATTGTACGTATGTGTATTTTACTCTTTTTAGAACTCCAACCGATAGCGTACGGTAATGTATCTATCTAACTTGTAGAAAGGCCAAAATAGGAATTTTTGTGCTCGGGAAAAAATATTAAATTCACGATCTACTATTGACCAAGAATCAAATACCAATCTCTAAAATTGTTTTCTAACAATTAGCATACAATCATGCTTATTGAGTTTTAAACATATTATCAAACATATTAAAAATATCAAAATAGTAGTCAATCATAGATAATGTACTACAAAAATTACACAGTTTCAAACTTTATGTTTGGGGATGAATTCCCGTCTTCTTCCCATAATTCCACTCCTGCATCTACAAATATTTTGACGAAACCGATGGACTGATCAACGTACTTACTGTACGCATTGAAACGTTGGCTACGAGCAATGGTGAAGCTGATCTCTTCATTAACACCACATTCCAATACCTGCAGAAATGGATCGTAAAGTCGAACGGAACGAGCAAACAGTCGTCGGTTAACACGGCTTGCATGTAAATTCCTGTGTCGTTGACCTCTTCCTGCAGTTTGCATTCATCTCTGCGGATGTGACCGGTCACGCGTATTCGTATAGACGAATATACGAGTTAAATAGTGACAGGTTAGGGGAGGCAAACGGTATGGTTGTTGTCGGAACTCGGACACGTCGTCTTAAAAATGTAAACGATTATTATAACCAGCAGTCATACCCCATCGGTTATCATTAGTGGCGTGATGAAAAGGGTTTATTGAAAGGTGGTCGACTTTAATTTATAGGGTAATGATTTAGTGTTTAGTTATACATGCCTGATTATACGACAATTTCTAAGAAAATTAAAAAAATCAAGTGTTCAATGTTCGTATGTAATAAAGCCAACGTGGGATAGCGTGCGTGACTCGTGGATACATAAATAATTTGGTGTTTATTAGGAAAGAAATGCTTTCCTCTGAAAATATTTGAGTTCGCTATGCCACTGCATATTATTATCATTCCACGGGTACTTCTTAATGTATTTGTGACGTGGTGTGCTCGCGTTCGCTCTAAAGCGAAATCCGCCAAGGAAATACCTATTTAAAAGTCGAGTAGAAAATTACATTGTGCTGCAAATATACGCTGCGCCGTACATTGATGAAAGTAAAAAATGAAAAAGTACAAAATAATAGACCATCGCTCGGAATCTGTGTCACGTCAAACATTAATCTGAATTATTTCAATATTACAAATCTGTGATGTCGCGAATGGGTTATTTCGCGAAATGTCCAGTTACTAAATTGTCGACTATTTAAACATTTTAGAAAACTTCTTGTCTAGTGAACTGTAACGGAAAAAATATTAACTTATTTGCTTATATAATTTACTCAAAACTGCACTTATTCTTGTGTATGTATTCCATCTTTTTTTCAGTTTATTATCTAGTAACCCCTCTTAACAATTATTTTGATGTTATTGAACATATACAGCATAGCTTATATCCATTATTTATTTTATCGGTATATTTTAAGTGTAATGAGTCTTCTAAGATTAATTTTCAACATTAAATTAATACGTTTTTCAATTACATAATGTATATTTGTTTATATTATATTTTTGATACGAAAAAACTGTATAATGTTTTTATCTAGATGTGAAACATTAGAGTAACATCAATTGTTTTTTGTTTTCTAACAAATACACAGTATCTGTTGTGTAATACTACTCTCACCTATCAGAAGTATTTTCAAACATACCGATTCATCGTCAGTGTCAAATGTATATGTAATACCTGTATGTCCAATAAACATTGTCTATTGTCTATTGAGAAAAAGTACAAACATTTTTGCCTACTCATATCTGTTAGCCACTCGTAATTTTAATCAGAGAACCGCAACAATGAAGGACAAACATAGAGCTCGTGAATAATACTTATACTAAAATAACTTAAAAATATATTATTACAAACAAATTTAAAAAAAATGTCAAACAAATGGCCACCGCAATGACCAATTAAAAATTAGGTATGAATAAAATATCTCATTTTCTATACATGCGTCACTATTAGGTTATATACTCATATATTATACAATTAGTGGTTTGGATGTAACTCCAGATGAGATATAATAATTTATGTAAAATATATTATATAAATATCACGATATGATTACATCGGATACGTAGTACGCGACCAATAATTTCGGTTTTAAATATAAACAAATATTATCAACGTGTTGATAAATGTGTATTATCACAGTATTTATGATTGCTCATGTTACAAAATATCATTAATAAATAATTTTTTAAACTGTTAATATTAAATAAACTAAACTAATACCAACAAATTATAGTTGTATGTAAAATTTTTTAACCAATGTGGTTATGAAATGATAAGATATCAATAGTTTACATGATCAATTTTCATTGCTTCGCTTAAAATAGTTTTTCGAAACCAAAGGTATAAGAACGATTTATTAGTATCGTTATAAGCCACTCCTTTCTGTAGATCGTCATAGCATTTATTTTTTAATGTTGTGTAAGGCTTTGGAACATTGATTCTATAATTATACATTAACTATGATTGCATAGAGAGCTTCCAGCGAAGTAATTTTGGTATTCATCACCTTTTACAGGCATGCTTTGTTGTATTTTTTACACTGGTAAAAACTTAACAAAATTATTCTTATAGGTAATGACTGAAGGACACGGGTGTACAAGGCAAAAATAATTACATATTTATTTGCCCCACCGTTTACTAGGCCACGCCTCACAAACCACTGCGTTCCCACTTCAAGTAAGAAATATAAATTTAGAATGCACATGATCATTTGTAGGCATACCATCTTTTCTCAGTACATTATCTAGTAGCCCCTCTCAACAACTATTTGATAGTAATAAATATATAGGTACTTGATTTAAAGTGAGAAGTGTTTCACGTGGTTTTAATTTTTTTTTTTTATATAGTTTGTCGTAGTTTTTTTTATTACAAGCTATCCTGCAACAACGTTGCCGTTTATTATAACTGTCGTATGTGAGAATCCATTACTTATTTTATCGGAATATTTTAAATGTAATTAGTTTTCTGAGATAAATGTCCAACATTAAATCAATACGTTATTCTATTACATTATATAAATTTGTTTATAATTATTGTTTGTTGATGCATTATTCTTACATATAATAGGTATGTACTTGTATTGTTATTATACTGCTGTTTGTTTTATTAAAATGGTTTACCAAATGTTAAAAATTAATTAATTAAAAATTTGATGTGAAATTATTTGTTGGATTTTTATTTTTATTTTAATATGTAAATTATTTAATCGTTTTTACTTTAAAGACGTTTTAAACCTTGATTGAATAAGATTTTCAAAATTGATAGATTTTTAATGTATTATATATTGACTTCAAAAGATAATGATTAGTTACCAAATAACAATTACAAAAAAGTCTTTTAATTGTATGGTCATTGTGTTATATTGTACGGGTTATTATTAATATAAACATAACTAACCAAAGCTAAGAAAATAAAAAATAATGGTTAAGCTTTGTATGCTGTTTTAAATTTTCCACGATTTTCGCTTTTCAACTCTTCTCATTTATAGGCGATTAAAATAATTAAACTGCGAATACCTATTAAAATAGTTTCGTTTATAATGAAGATAATGATGGATTGAAAAAATCCGAAAGGAAGAGAAGATAAAGTGGAAGTAGAAGTAAAGGAGAAAGAATATCAGAAATGTTTTGTGGATAATATAAAATTCCCCTCAGGAGTAAAATATTTTTATAGATTAAAGATGATTTCAAAATTATTGATAGGTTTTATTAATTTATTGATATTTGATTGGTGTGATTTAGCATATTTTATGAAAAATATTATTGTTCTACAATCATAACAATTGTTTAAAATAAAAATCATAATGAGTAAACAATTCTTTAATCATGAGTTATATAAATAATAATATAATAAAATACATATAGGTAGTTAAGGAATTCAATTAAATTCACCCATTCATTGGTATAACTTTAAGAAAAATATTCAGTTGAACGAAAATCATGAAAATACTCATACTGTTATTATTGTAGTACTGAAAGTTTACTTTAAAGTAATTACGAAGTAATATAGTTGGAAAGTTTAATTTTTGTTCAAAATCTGCCGTTTTGGTTTTTGGAGACAAAATGATACGTTATTTTTTGTTATACCACTTTAATTTATGTAATATACTATTTCACACTCGTTATATCTAATGTAAAATATATCTTATTTAAAGTTTACATAGTTTTTTTATGGATTTTTTTTATTCGTCTAGCAGCTTATCATTAATTTTGGTAGGATAAAACTCGTTTCATAAAAATACAATTAATTTTGTGATTGAACTATGTTTATGGTTATTAAAGTCCAATTTGAATTTCCAATGTACAATCAATAAAACTACCATATGATGTTTATAAAAAATGTGTTATAATTATATCATGAATTAAATAATGCTAGTGTGTAAATGCTGTTCAAGGTTACAATCGTATAAAAGTTTGCGTTGTACTAGTAAATATTTTTGTACGTTGATATCTATTTAATTAAATTATTTTTCGGTTTTCACTATGGAAAACAATGTATCAAAATAACGTATATTTTTTTTTGTGTATAAATCTAAATTTTTTGACTAAACTATTTCATTCTCTAAAAGCAAGTTTACAAAAAAGTAAATCCATAATTATTCAGTGTTCTCAATTTGTATTTTCAATTTCCATCGAATCGGGGAAAACACTTGTTTTAAAATTATATTTTTTATCTTCTTACAATTTTTAATCACAATTAAATTTTCAAATTTTAAATATTTACCAAATATTTTGTATGGTAACATTTTACATCAAGAATTTAATAAAAATGGTAATTGAAAAGTGGTTATTTTTCACCTTTTTAATACTTTTTTCGTTTTGAAGAAATAACTGTAGAACACTTTGAGTTTAAATATTTTATTTATGTTTTATTTTATTTTTTATTTTTAATAAAGTAAATAATTTTTTGTTTTGCAACTCGATAAAGTATGTAAAATTGTTTATACTATAAATAACTAGAATAATTTTACTTTGGTAGTAAATTTTTTTTTGTCTTATTTAATATTAAACATAATTCTAGTTTTGTGTGTTAACACTTGAAAGTTTAATAATAATCCTTACTGTCACTTCAAAGTTAAATACAATTTAAAGTTCATATTTCTATTAGATCTAAGAACTTAAAATTTTGAATTTATTAAAAAATTGTAAATAATTATTCTTTTAATTACCTATTATAAATTATATAAGGTTTAGGTTAGATTCACATGGACGCGCGTGTACATGTGAACCTAGATTATAACATTTATTTTATCATTGTAATAAAATAGAAAAGTGTACATAATGTAAGCAACCTAATTTATTTTTATTATTCCACAAACATTGGGTTAAATAAAGTTAAATTATAAATTAAATTATATATAATTATTATAAATTTTATATTTAGCCTTATAATTTCCACTCGAGATGTTTTATAATTACAGAGTTATGACTTAGTATTAATAACAGTTTATTTTTCGTATAAGTAAAATGGCTTTTGGAATAAAACTATATATATGAAGTCTATGAAGTCACAGGTTTCAAGTTTCAAATAATATTTAATACAAGACTCTTTTTTGAAAATATGTAAAATATACTTGAATTTAAATAAAATATTTCCATAGTTATATACGAGTACATTATAATAATACATTAATTTGTTTATATATTAAATAAGGCTAGCCGTTAATGAGTTAAAAAATTTAATTTACGTTAAGAAGTTAATTTTATACTAACTTTTTAACTTAATTATTTACTTTTGGATTTTCATTAAATTAACTATTAACTAACTAAATGTATTTTTTAATTACCGAATTAATTACAATTTTAAGAAATAAGTTATATTGATTTATTTAGCTATTCATTTTTCTTCAATTTCACTATTTTGATCTACTTCGTTTACAAAATATTTTTCAAAAAGTATTTATCGTGAACTGATTAAAGTTAAAAATGTTAAAATTTTCTAATTTTCCAGTTACCTAAAGGAATACTGTATATATCAGAAAATATTTTATGATAAATATGTTTTATGTTGTTAATGTTATTAATTTAACTACTACAAATATCGAGTAACAATAATTATAAAGACATTATATCTAGATACTAGTATATTATAATAGTACCTATGTATGTATGTATCTTATGGGCAAAGCATACAATTTGGGCATTTTATACATTGTCCGGACAATATATAAAATGCTCTTCGTATGCAGGGCAATATAGATAACAGATAATATGATTTAATGCAATATAATAAATTAATGAATAATGACATGTATTTATATTATTAATTAATTCATCTCAGTAAATATAATTAATTGCACCACCAATCCTTTTTTGACTATGCTTCCTTTTTTTTTTTTTTTAAACGATTCACAACTATTTAAATATAGCATAATCATATCTCTGGTGATATTTTTATATTTTGTATTTACATCGGGTTCCATCCTGTTTCGTCCACCATGTTCAATCGATAAATGAACATTATGTATAACATCAAATAACTCTTCATTATGTACATAATATTTAATTTCGTTGTTTTCAGATACTGATACAATTAACTTGTTAATATCAGAAACTTTTAACACGTTTTATTTTTTTTAAAAGTTTGTAATGATTCGGTTCTTTTTTCTTTGAATTGTTTTTTAATTGATTTTTATGTAAAATTAAATGATCAAATTTTGACTTGGTAAAAAATGAAGTATTTGAACCTTTTTTTAAAAAAAAAATTGTTTATATCTTCATTAAACTTTTTCATATTCGAATAAGTAGTTAGGTACGCACTGAATGAATTAACCTGCACTACACAAATGATTCACGGATACTAAATAGTTCATTTTTGAGAATAAATGGCCGACTGCACGATAATCACTACAACTACTTATAATATAACTTATAAATCAGTAAATATAATAATAATATATTGTCACGTTCACACGTATATGTGGATAAGCAGACATCCCCATTGTAAAATACGATAAGAACAAACAAACTAGTTACAGATAATAATATGACTTTATTTTAACTATGTTTTACAATTTATCATATTTCATTAAATCATATCATCCGTTATCTATATTGCCCAATATACGAAGGGCATTTTATATACTGTCCGGATAATGTATAAAATGCCCAAATTGTATACTTTGCCTTTAACATATATATATATATATATATATATTGTATATTATTGTTATCGACGATTAATGTCGCACGATGTCGATATTTCGGAAAAAAATATATACCAACATTAAAATCTAAAATAAACAAAATTATTGATTTAACGATTTTCCGAGGTGATATGGGACTGTAATTTTATCGGTATTCAATTTCAGTTATGAATTTTTGGTTATACACCTGTACAGTAAAAACAAGAAATATTTATTATTATTCGGATCGTTTTGCGGTATGTCCATTAATAATTAAAATATTAAAATTAAAAATATCTACTTATCACATACTTAATTCAACAATTTTTATCGATGAGGGTAAGTACCAACTAATATTGAATATGAAGGAGATTTTGTTTCAATTGTATCTTATTCTTTAATGTCTTTTAGCATTAAAATATTTTGTTACGTTTTTTTTTTTTTTTTTTTAGAAACGAAAAACTTCAATGAAATACATACTAAATGGATATACTGTATGAAGTATAATAGTGCCAGTCCTATAAATGAAATATATAGTTATAATAAGTTATAAACATTTTTTAAAAATCTGTATTAACTTTTAACTTAACTGAGTTAAAAAAGGTAATTAACTTGTCCATCTTTGGTATTAAATATATTTCGTTTCAAATATAATAAACAAAATATATTAATGTTGTAATTTATGTAAATAATTTTTACTTAAATGTTATTAACAATTATTGATTTATTTAGGTAAAATACATTTTTTTGTCAAATTATTAACAATAAAAATTTGGAAATTGAAAATGAAGTACACTCCGGTGTCAATATTCATTGGACTGCTATGCACATCTGCAATAAAATCGTCTAATATATTGGTTTTCGTACCATCACCGTGGAAGAGTCATATCGCATCATTTCAACCATTGTTTGTGGAATTAGCACACCGTGGTCATAATGTCACGGTAGTAACACAATTTGCTGTTAAAAAACCACCGTCTAATTACACACAAGTGCTTTTGAAAAGTGATTTCACATTCGCATCAAATAATTGTAAGTACCTGTAGTATTATTAATAACTCCATTGGTATTTTATCAGGTATAAACTCAACAGTTTATAAATATTATAATAATATTATAATAACTAGTATAAATATACTGTATTTGTAATTTGCATTAAATCATCTTAAATTTATATTTAGGTTGGGTTCTACGAAATTTTGATTTTGTTTACATAATTAAAACTTGTTATATGTATTTTCTAATTGTATGATATATAATATAAAATATATATTTAAAAAAATTTCAAAATATGTTTGTAGGCCTTTTTAAATATGGTGACCTCCATAATTGATATGTTCTAAAATATTTTCAAATATGTTTTTATAAACTGGAGATTACCTCTTAAAACTGGTCTTCATATTTATTTAAGAATTTGTAAAAGAATATAGATATCGATTGTATTATTTAAATGTTGATTGAACTCAATAATAATATGTTAAATTGAGTTCTGTGAGGATCCTGAGAAATGTATATGTTACGAAAATGTATATTTTGTTATTAATAACATATTACCTTATCATCGATGACTGTATGCTTATTTTGTTTACGTTCTCCCTGTAGTTAAATGTTTACATTTTGATGGTAATAGTGTTTGTTTTATTTCAGTTATAGAGATTATACTACAAGAATCTAATAAGTTTGTGCGTCTATTCAAGGAAATATACATTCGAAGTACAATTGGACCTGACTTAACGAAAGCATACATATCAAATTCGATGGTACAAAAGTTCATCAAGGAAGATCAATCATCGTTCGATTTGGTTATCGTGGAATCGTTTTTTCAAGAATGCACTGTTGCGATGGGTCACAAATATGGTGCTCCAGTAATAAATATCATTCCGGTGGCTCCTTGGGTTTCCCCATCGATGCCAGCTGCAAATCCTTTAGAGTTTTCTTACATTAAAGATTTCGTCCTGGATGCTGGTAAATCACTTGATTTCTTTAGCCGGTTGGCCAACACTATTGTTGGTTTGTACGGCTTATTGGTTGAACCGAACGTGTACCTTCGGAAAATGGAAAACATGATGAATGACTATTTTCAATACCCCGGACATGAAAACAGACCACCGCTAACGGAGATGCTCAAAAACATATCACTTAGCTTAATAGATTCTGACATGATGATTCTCACCCCACGACCTTATGTTCCGAATTTTATCGAAGTTCCTGGGATTCACCTGTTACCGATCAATGACATGAATGAGGTAAAAACGTGTATTTAAATTCGAACGTTCATATTCAAATATTATGAGAAGGGATGTCTTCTAGTACCTATCAGCTATTGAACACAATTGAATGAATAATAATTTTTTAATCATTTTATTTTATGATTCAGAAACTACTAGATTTCATGGATAGAGCTGAAATGGGCGTTATTTACTTTAGTTTCGGAAGTTTGTTGGATGTGTCTGTTTTCCCGAAACGTTATCTGGACATTTTTAAAAATGTATTAGGCCAATTAGAACAGAAAGTAATATTTAAGTGGTCGAATAATAATACTGAAGGATTTCCAGATAACTTTTACGTTGATTCTTGGTTGCCACAATTGAACATTTTGAGTAATGACCGCACATTATTGGATTAAATTTAAAATAATTTTTAAAATTATAATTAAAATATAATTTATAATTATTAAAAATAAAAAAATGTATTTCAGAGCATAAAAATTGTAAGGCTTTCATTACTCATGGAGGAATCCATGGTTTAATGGAAACAATAGATGCCGGAATCCCAATTCTTGGGTTTCCGTTTTTTGGTGATCAATTCCAAAATTTAATGATTAGTCAAGATAATGGGTTTGGTATAAGGAGTAACATTTTTAAAATGACTGAAGAAACATTTGAAAGAGAAATAAAGCTTTTATTGACCGATCAGAAGTAAGGAAATTAATTGTAAATAAAAAATGACTTATAGAGCTGTAATTATATTCTCGCTTATTATTGACACTCATTAATTTCATCAACTCTTCATTAATGCTTATAGATTACACATGTATTTATTGATTTTTAGCAGGACATAATTTAGATTTGATATATATATATATATTGCATTGTATTTTTATTGGATAAAAAAGTTAATTTTTCTATTTAATAATAAATTTAATTATTATACTAGGATGTATAGTATTCAACACAGTATAACAATATTATAATATACACAGTATTAAACGACAGTTTTCTTACATAACCTCATATGTTTTTGATTTAACGGTCATATATTATATTTTTCAAATTTTTTCAACCCAAACTTTGTGAAATATAAAAAAATCCTTTATTTAATTGTTTATTATTCACCGAAAAAAAACTAGTTACCAATATACCATATTTTTTTAATAATATATTCACATTATAAATCCGAGATAATATATGATAAATATTCAGACTGTATTATGTTTTTGAGTTTTATGGACCATTTGATTTAATAATTTTATACATTATAGATTAATATTATTTCTATACTATTTTAGATTTACAGAGAATGCTAAAAAAATGTCATTTATATTTCATGACCGACCCATGTCAACGATAGATAAAGCTGTTTATTGGGTGGAATACGTTATTCGACATAAAGGAGCGAATCATTTACGTTCTCCAGCAGTGGAACTAAAGTGGTATCAATATTATTTATTAGACATTGCTGCATTTGTTATACTCATCATATTTATTGTTTTTTTTATTGTAAAACGCATCACAATATTCATATATTCTTTGATAGTTAAACCGAAAAAGATTAAACGTTCATAACATTGTTGCATCATATATATTTTATGTCCTATGATATATATATATATATATACCAAATAACTTTATTTAAAATATATTTTCATTCAATACATTTATTATAAGGTTTAGAAAATATTTTCTTCTATATTATTTATTTATTTTTTCATTTTAAGTTAAGGTTTAAGAAAGATTTTTTTTAGCCTGCATATAATACAAAATAAGGAATTATGAGATACACTAATTACAATTATTTACATTTTTTACTTAAACTTATATTATTAAAACATTGATATATTGTTTCTGTAATTTCTTTGTTAAGTGAATGCTCGAGTAAAAGGTTAGGTTAGTGAAGATTCTTCATGCTTCGTGACGTATTATGGGCATTTAATAAGAATGTAATCGATTGAGAGGGTGTCCTTAGAAGTCGGGGCTGGTTTGTTGATGATGAGGAAGGAGTGTGCTAAATGAATTTGCCCTATTCTGACCCGAGTTAAAATGACCTCTTCTTTTAAGGTTTAGAGGGAAAGTCAATTTTTAGACGGAGGATTAATGCTCCTTAATTTATTTAAAGGTGGAACATTATTCCAATTTATCGGCCATATTTTAAAGTGTATGTTTTTTTTTCATATTATTATAATTTAAAAAATGTCGATGTAGTTTAAGACTATTTTAAATTATTTAATATCGGTGAAGTATTTGTGCTTGATGATATAGGTACAAATTATAATTTGTCTTCATATCGTTTTAAAATTTTAAAGTAAATATATTGTTTATGGTTTTGTTATTATTATATTTCGCTTAAATTAAAAAATATAAATTAAGCTATCGATAATTGTTTTTTGGTTACTATTTTTATCAGACTAAATATTTTTATCATTTTTAGTTGTTTTTATTTTAAAATAATGATTAGATTATAGGTATTTTTAGTTAAAAAAACGAAATATTCATAATTTTTTTAAGTCCTAAAAGAAGATAAGAAGTCGTAATTTCGATATTCTCTAGGGTTAAAATTAAATAATTTGAGAATTTTCCTTTAAAGTAGAATATTTAGTATAAATTCAAATCATATTAAATTGTTATCACAAAAATAGCTCGATCTTAGTAGGTTGGGAATATAAAACATCTAAATTCCTTTGTTGCACGTTAGATGGACATGAGCAGAAAATTACCGCTTCCAATTCCCTTAATATATTTTAGATTCTTATTAAAGTGAGAAATGTATTGCGTTTATAATGCCGTTTTGACTTGTGATAAAATATTTGAGCTATAAACTCGTTTTAAAGGTTTCATAACGTATCACATAATATCAATAATTTAATAATAAAACTACTTTAAACAAACTGTTTTTAATTTCCATAGTAATTTTTCGAGTATTATTGTTCTGAATAAAAATCTAATTGCCAAAAATGTTGTTTCCAATCAAACTAATATTCTTCCAAATTGAAATATATAAAATAAATATACCCGTATATTGATTTTACCGAGCAATTTTACTATTTGATCAATAAATTTTATTTTTAGAAAAACTCTTTTAATAAGAAAATTTGAGAATAAGAGCTTATCAAAGATTAACAATGTTTAACTCAGTTAAAATTGTATAGGCCTTGTCCGTGATGTGTTTAGTTTTTATTTACAGAAATTAATTTAATAAAAGATGTTCGTTGTTAATACTTTGTCCATCAAGTATAATATAATAGGTATTATATTATATCCTTATACATTTAGTTAAAATTAAACTTTTATACAGTTGTCAAAATAATCATAATCAACTTTTATAATAACTTTTATAACTTTTATAATATACATTTCTGAACAATTGTTGACAAATTCATTTTTATCGCAATAGTGATCTTAAAAATGTATTGAAATAATATTTTGTATGTATTATTTTATCAACAAGAATGTAATGAAAATATATTTTAATATTTAAAAACAATTAAAAACTAATGCTGAAAGATGAGAAATCATGCGATGTTGATGGTTTTGATCGGTGAATAAAATCACATTGTTTTTGGGCAGGACCTTAAACCAATTCCGAAATATGAAGAACCGAACATTTTTTAACAACAGTAACCACTAGAGTAGTCAATGTTTCCCCATTTTCAATATACGGCATCTAACCTAAAAATACATTAAATTTGACACCAATAATATTCGACATTTGATTATTACACTTGATGAATATTATATTTCGTTGACTTATTGCATTGTTACCATGTGATTATAAGTTGTCAAGTTTCTAACTATTCTAAGAAACCAAAGGATAACCTACCTTAGGAAACATAACTTTTCTTAACGGTTACGTAACAACGCAAGTAAAGGGACATCTTATAATTACTTCCTCAAATCATAACTCCGACCTAGTATTTATATATAATAGTACTGAATATACTGAGATTTAAAATGAGTTGCTACTAGTGATGGGTCGAATTCTGATTTTAAAATCGAACCGAACTTGAACCGAACTTAAAATTATTATTTCGAACTCGAACCGAACCGAACCGAACGTATTCTGATTTTAAGTCAAACTCGAACTCGAACTCAATACTTTTTATCATGTACATTGTATCTACTTACAAATTAAATCAACCTTAATTATTAATTACTATTGTATATTACGTTTTCGTATTACCTATTCAACATTTTAACTTTTAATTCTAAGTAAATGTATTATTTACAATACATTTAAATTTTAGATGATTTCTTCTTATTATTATTATTTTTCAAAATCAGTATTGTTCTCTCTCGTGTTGTCTTGTAGCTTATAAAATATTCATTGAGTATTGAGTATTGAGTGTAATATGACAATACAATCAGTACATTTTAATAATATATAAAAAAAATAGTAATAATAACTATAATTCACAAATATAGAATAGTAGAATTTATAATGTAAGACGTAAATTGTAAACATGTTTTTTATTTATAGCACAGTCCCGGTATCGGAATATTACCATGGATTTACACAAAATAGATTTTAACCACTACAACAAATATGATAAAAACAAAAATAGTTAATTTATGAATGTAGATACACTGCCTCTATTGGCGATAAACAACTTATTAATGTTTTGGTCGGCAGAGGGTGGATGTGTAACATGCGACTGGAAAAATAACATTATTATTATAAATAATACATAACGTGCCCTTTACAGATTATCACTGTTTATCGCCAATAGTCTAATAATTTCTAAAGCATCATTATCAATTTTTATTTTTCAAAAATAACTTTTGAAGAATTTTACAAATATTTGGTTTTTGAACTATCCTGGCCAGTAAGACTGGGTTGACAAATATTTTCAAGTTCGATTTCCGAACAGTATAAGATGCTTGATAGTTCGGTTCGATTTTATTTCATGCCGAGTTTGAATTTCGAACCGAACCAAACATCAGGGTTTGGTTCGGTTCGGTTTGAGATTCGAACATTTCGATCCATCACTAGTTGCTTCCTTAAAGTCGATTTATCTAAGTAGTTGTCCCTCGCAGAAACGTTGCCATATTGGTTAAATCTCTATAATTACCGTTAGAAAGTATAAGAATATCTCTGGGAGAGTGTTTCAACACACTCTTCACATAATTTACAAAATACTTTATAAGTTTTAATAATAAATCCATTATATTTTATTAATCCAAAGTTGGGTATAAGCTTATTTATTTTTACCTTATGATTGAAAGTAACTTGAGAGTATAACGTTGATGAAGAAATTTAAAAGTGGCTATAGTGAGAGATCACTACACACAAACTTTTTGGTGTCAGGTGTGTAAAGTTGCATTATGATAGTGCGGAAACCCACACAGCATTTGTCAATCATAACAATTGAAACAATATTTATTATATGATTGAAATTTAAATATTTAAAATTAAAATTTTGTTCAACATCGAATATGTATTTGATTTTTCATGTTAAATCTGAAACTTGCAATAAGAATATATTAACATTTGATAACGAGTATTAAAAAATAAATGAAAATTTAAAATTGTAAAATTTCTAGTATTTTATTCAATAATTATATATTCTTTGTAGGTTATCTATATCATAAATATTTCGACGATCAGTTAGCGATTTTTTTCAGTATTATTGATAATATAATATTAACCAGTTACAGTTTAAAAACCTTAAGTTAAATTTTTTTTTATTGATTACAGTTCAAAAACCGGCTTACGACAAATTATTCCATTTTCATTCTATAGTTTTGAAATATAAATAGTGAACTATGTACTTTCTTGCATAACTATCATGTGATTGTATTAAGATGTAGTCATTATTAATTACATTTTAATAAATAATAGTATATTTATAGTACCATATATTGTCAATTAATCGATAGAAAATTACTTAAATAAGACGACTAAAAAGTTTAAATAGATTAAAAATATATCACTGACCAAAAACGTACTATGAAAATTGGAAACATATCTATTATATTATTATTGAAATGCTTAATTATTTTTAATTTTAAAATTTTAAATAATTGTAGACAAATTGAAGATTGTAAAAAACGTCACGATTCATATATTTTATGAAATTGGAGTATTATATTAAAAATGTTTACTAGTCATGTGTTGAGTGTAAAAACGTCATTAGTTCTACTTTATTTTTTTTTTTTCGATGAACTCAAGCTTTAAAACAAATATAAACGCCACAATTTATGTCACATGTATTGGCTTGTACGTCAGAAAGGCCCAGACGACTAAATGCGAGCTGATATCCTCTTAATGATGGTTGGATATTTTTTATTAGTACCTATGAAATGTATTTAGAGTTTAATATTGTTTTGTATGATTATGTCATCACTTTTGATTAGTATTCTTATTGTTTTATTATTGGTTGCACATATCCAAGTACAATTGTTGTTAGAAATTCAAATTCTTGTCAATACCATTTATACAATTATTACTCGCATGATTTGGAAATCGACATAAATGAAGATGATTTAAAAAATGAACGAACTGCAATATTTGTATTAAAAAAACTGTATATAATCTGTTGCAAATTTAAAAATATATTTCTAGAATAATTTTTCATAATTTGA